ATACAAAGCTAAAAACCACTTTACAACTACCGTATACCCACCGACATGCTCGAATCACTGTTTTATGTCGATGCAGATGTATTTCAGCTTCTAGCTGGTTCCATAGTCGATCATGTTCGACGCCGCGCATATTTCGTCCAAGTAATTGAATTTGCTGAATTCTGCCGGCTAATTCCTAAAGTGCATCGTATACTTGAAACATGCTGATGAAACGCGTCTGCAAACTCGTCCAATTTGCTGTGAAGTGGCTCAAATTTGCTAAATTTACAAAAATGAAGTTTTCCGGCTACAGTACGAAACACAAATTGTGACAAAAGCAGGAAGAGAGGGAAGCAGGAAGATCAATGGCTCTTTGGTCAAAATGTTACCCTTTGCCTTAGTAACCAAATCCGGACCGGAAAACTCGTACAAACACCCACCTTGTCCAAATACTTAGCCGCGAGTCGCGCACCAAACACTTCGGTCTCCAAAGCTCCTATCAAATGCCGTTGCCGATCGCTCTCTTTTCGCAAAACTTCCAGCTCACATTCTGTCCGTAACGATGGCATTAGCACTTCGTGCAGCTGCCCGAGTTGTGAGTCCTAAAACAGTTATTTGTTGAGAAAATTTTAGCAGGCTAGCGACAAGGTTCCTTACCAACTTCTTCTTGATCATATCGGATTCATGCGGTGCAGTTTTAGCGTGAAGTTGACATTGAAGGCTGTGTACCTAAAAAGGGCAGATCTTTTGTTGAATGATTACTTACTTTTATTAAAATATGTTATACAAAGAAGTGCGCCAAAGATATGCATTCACTACTCAAAAAAATCGAAATTCAAGTCCGAAAATGCCAAATCAAATTTATTTCTCAAAATAATCCAAGAATTTCCCAGTGATGAACTACGGTATTACTGTAAGACACTACATCCCATACTCGCCCTGTTCAAAAAATGTCTCATTCAACATAGACGAAAAAATTGATTGTTCTACGAAATTGCTCTTGAACTATGCGGCGCGGCGTTGATGCCTATGAGGCGCGGCGCAAAAGAACAATTCACAGGGATTAACTATTGGTTGATCTTGTGCACGAAGGCGTCCGCCATGCACCACGATGGTTACAGTTGAAGCATTTCTTAGCAAATTTCATGATATCCCTATGGCCTCATTTCCGGGAGGCTGATTTAGAGTTCAGCAGTCACTTCTTCTACTTGATTTTTTACTACCATATATTATAGCTACGTTAATCCAAGACCTCTGAATCGCTACCTTTTGTGGGCTTTTGGGCTCAAATATCTTAATTACAATGGTAGCAATTTTTTTGCCCCTCCTACCACGATATTC